TACTGGTGGGCTCTCTGCTTCTATTCCCCCTGCTGGCTCCTTTTCCTCCTTGGTAGGGGGAGGTCCCAACGGTAATCGAAGTTTGCGAAAACCCCCTTCCCACCATATCGTAGGAGCCCACTTGTCCAACCATGCTAATCCTAAAATCACTGGTTCTAACATTTTCTCCACTATAATAAACCGAATAGTTTCGGTGTGCTCCCCAATATCGAGGTGCACCTTTTCTGTTATATGAGTCACTGGTGCCCCTCCCAGCAATGAACCATCCATTTGTTCAAAGGTAATAGGGGTTCTCAACCGCACAACCCGCAGCCCAAGCTCGTCAACTATCGCCCTACGAATTAAACAACGAGTACACCCTGAATCAATCAATGCCTCATATCGGCGTCCAGTGGTGGCCCGTGGGTTTCGGAGTACGACTGGTACCACAAAAGGTCGGATGGGGTCGCTCACCATCGGGTCATGTGGGTCCTCATCGTCATCATCACTATCCCCAGCCGCAATCGGGAACTTTTCCGCCACCACTTTCTTAGTATCTGTAGCCAGGGGATCCCTCTCCATACAGGATGTTCGAGTCATTTGGGACCGTTCGGATGTTGGTCGGCCTCTGCCTCTCAACACAGCTCTAGGAGGGGGGTTTTGGTCCAAGTTACGGGGCATGGGATGAGGACAGTCGGCTGCTCGATGACCAAGGCGATTACATCTGAAGCAACGAAACGCAGGCCGCTGGATCCTTTCCCCCAAGCCGGAGCCAGCATTCGGTCTAGTCTCCTTGGGTGTTTGTGTGCGTTCTGCTGGTCGTTTTCCTTGACTTGCAACCCCTTCACCCCGTATACGGAATTCTCGGAGACCGACGTCCAATTCGATGGCTGCCTTGTACCACACACTCAACTTGGGGGGCAAGCCCCGGTACACGCAGGCTTGCCGTAAATCACGGTCTAGTCCTTTATGGAATTGGTGCACCAGAAGACGTTCTGGCCACCCCACCAACCGAGCCGCAATCTTTCGGAACTCCTGTACATATTCCTTTGCTGGTACGCCCCGTTGCTTAAGCGCAAACAAATCCCCCTCTGCAACCTGGGCGCTTGTTTCGTCTTCAAATCTGGCACGAAGAGCCTCCAGAAATCGTCCCAGGTCCACGAGTTCCCTTGCATGTTTAGCATGGAGGCCTGCCACCCACTCAGCTGCTTCTCCCGTCAGGACCCCTGTAACAGCAACCACCATAGCCCACTGGGAGGGATACCACTGTCCATATTGGTCCATATGGCTTATCACCTGGCTTAAGAAAATAGCCACTCGTTCAGGGTTTCCGTCAAAGGAAGTCTGCAGGGCAGGTGGTCCCCAAACGGCCTACGGGACCCACAGCCCCGGCGGGGGCCCCCGGAGGCCAAGGCATGGGGCCTGGGGTCCTCGCTGCTCCAGTCGCTCTCCTGTCCTGCCTAGGTTGGTCCCTCGCCGCCCCACGACCCCCAACAGGTAAGCCCCCTGCCAATTGCGTTGGTTGGGCTCAGGACCGGCTCCAAGGTCTCCCGATGAGGCACCTTGGTCTTGTTCTGGAGGGGGTTGGTCCATGGATCGTCTAGAGGTCCGCTCCATCCTCAATTTAGGACTTGTGAGCCGGAACTGGGTCTCCGAAGCGGTCACCCCTGTATCCTGCCAAGAAGAACCTGGAGGCTCCAGCCCTGCAACCCAGGGCTGCCAGGATGGGGCGTCACGAAATCCAGATTCCCCAAAACGCTCACGTAGCGTATCCATGGTGCTGGGACCGGATGAAGCAGGATACCCCCAATCCCCTTCATCCTCCTCAGTCCATCGTCTTTCCCTCCAGCCCTGGAAAGATGCTCCCAAGCGAGGGGGTGTTGGCATCCGTGGCCCGAGGAGAACAGAGCTGTGCCACCAATCCCCCGTCCGAGCCCGTTGTCCTGGAAAACTCTCCTCCTCCGGCCGGGGCGGGGCGCTCTTGGGTTGCTTGACTTTTGGTTTCACTGCCAACTGTTCCACACTCTCCTTCACCTCCTCTATCAGTGGTTCCTCCCCCTCCACATCTCCACCACACTCCTGCTCTTCCAAGGCCGTCCCTTCTGCCATATCCCCCTTTGCTGCAAAGCCACAGGGAATCCTCACCTCTTGCGAAAAGGAACCAAGCGCTGACTTTCTCTCGGCTTGTCGTTCGTTCAGAACTGCGATAGGAAATAATCACCAGTAACACACAGAGAATCAGGGTTTACTTTGGCAATGATAAGCTTGCAGTCAAAAGTAAAGTACAAGTCGGTGGTTTGGTTCAAAGTCAGCGCTGGGTGTAATCACACCACAGCGCTATTTAACAAAAACTCAGCCCCTTAAACATACATCCGGTGATTATCAATCAAGCACCCCCCACTCCCTTAACAGTAACAGCTGCGAGCAGCGAGGACAGCAGAATCGGAGAGGCCCAGCAACGTCATCAATCATTGCCCTGAATGCTGCTATCCAGGAACTGTTTGTGTGTTCTCTGCGGCTGCTTATCTCCACTCCTTCGTCTCCCACACACCCCATTGATGGCGAGCTCCGGCAGGACTCGACACCAACTCTCTCTGTAGACAGTAATGGATGATCTAGGCCACAGATACATTCTTGTGCATGTTTGCCTGTATCAACTAGACTCATCAAACTGAAAAAATAATGGAATACTGCCATGCTATAAACCATCAGCATAAGCCTAAAGAGAGGCTCTTCATCATTTAATTAACAAACAGTTTATTTTTATTATGAAAATTTTGGGGAAAACAATGCCCATTGGTTCCAACTTACTTCTTTTTGGAATTAGCAGTTAAGTGGTATTGTGTATGACCTAAGTGAAATTGTATACTTTTAACTCAACCTACAAGATAATTTTTGTCTACAGTATTTATTTTGAAGCACACTTCAGCTGTTTTTTGGGGCAGGGTTTTGTCATACATGTAGGGAGAGGCCTCTAGGGAGAATTGGATAAAATGAAACAATGAAATGAGCAGTGGAAAGATAATGTCCAGCTGAGGCCCTGTAGTTTATCTATTTATTCTCCAAGCTACCTAAAGAGATTATAATGTCCAGGTTGAAAGAGTTTGGAATGTTTGAAGATATTTTAAAATCTAAAAGGTAAAGTCTAATTATGGCTTACAGATGTTGCTGCAACACTGAATCCAAGATATACAGCATCCTATTGTCACATCAAAGGAACAGCATTAATAACCTTCAATACCATTTTGAAAGCTTTTAAATATGAAAGTGATTTAAAATACAGGAATTGGTTCTGCTGTTAGAACCTTCATACAGACAATGCAAAAATACTATTGGACATCATTCAGTCAATTCATATAAGATTTTATTCTCAAATGATTTTTTTCTCTTCTCTTTTGCATGATTTTCATAAACTAAATAAATTCTAAATTCTAAACTAAATTCCTACTATATGGAAAATAAATGTATTTTCCATATAGTAGGTTCACTGATATGGTGTGCATGTCAAACATATGTTCTGCTATTTAGCAATTAATTGTTATGTATAATGTTCATTTAAGGCATGGTTGCCGTAAGTCCGTGATGGCGAACTTATGGCACGTGTGCCACAGGTGGCACGTGGAGCCATACCGGAAGCAGGGAAACAGGCTCTTTATGGCCTCCGGAGGGCTGGGTGGGGGGTGGGGATGGGCCATTTTTTGGTGTCCCCAGACTCCAGAACCTTTCTAGGAGCCCGGGGAGGGCAAAAACGGCCTTCCCCACCTCCCCGGAGGCCCTCCAGAGGCTGGAAACAGCCCATTTGCTGATTTCCAGTCCCACCAGAAGTCGGCAAATGGGCCTCGAGGGGGGGGGGAGGCCATTTTCACCCTCCCCATGCTCCTAGAAAGGCTTTTGAGCCTGGGGAGAGCAAAAAACAGGCCTTCTGGTCCCACCAGAAGTTGGCAAATGGGCCATGTCCAGCCTCCGGAGGGCTTCCAGGGGGGGTGGAGAAGGCCATTTTCACCCTACCCAAGCTCCTAGAAAGGCTCTGGAGCCTGGGGAGGGCAAAAAATGGGCCTACTGTGCCATTGTGTGCCAAAAGCAGGGAGAGGGGTTGTGCACACCTGCGCGGAGGTGCAGGGTGCATAGAATTATGGGTGTGGGCCGTTTGTGACCCCCTGCCCTCCCCCCGCTCTTGGCACATGATGGCAAAAAGGTTAGCTATCACTGCCTTAAATTATCACAAATATCAGGTCAGTGGTAGAACTGTTTAGCCAGCAATGGGTCCAAACATTAAATATTGGAAAATACTTCTTCATCTGGGAGTCTAGAGTACCCACAAGTCAGAAAAGCCTTCATAAATAGGCCAAGGCTCTGAATCAATATAAAACAGCTTCAGGTGTCAGTCAAGGTAGAAAATGGCATACTAATATGAAAAAGGTCTTTTGTAACTTATTATCAGTGTTTACAGAGTGATTACTGTGCTAAAACTTCTATATTAGTTCTTTGCTTTATTTTTGTCTAGAATAGAAACAGCCCTCTTTTCCAACATGCACAAATATAAAATGTGATACTGAAATCTTGTAATTGCAAATGTATTTTTAAATTGGAACTCCCACTTGTTCTTATAACTTATTAAAGGAAACATCAGAAGAAATGATCTTCAACAGAATTGATTAAGAATTATATACAGATAGTCTTTGTTTAGAGACTGATCGCTCAGTGACTAGTTGCAGTTATGGCGATGATTTAAAAAATAACTTTATAAGCTCTTCTCACATTTACTATTTTTGCAGATCTGTGAAGCAAAAGAAACCTGAAATAAAATAATAAAATAATGTTGTTTCGCTGAGTGAGTACTTCACTTAATGATTGAATTGCTGATCCCAATGTAGTCATTAAACAAGGACTACCTGCAGTACGATCTTAAACTACAACTTAGAAGTAAACCTCACGAAGTTCCATGAAACCACCCTCTAGTAGGCTGTTTTATTCTTTGAGGTCTCATTAAGAATTATTAGCATTTTAACCAAGAAAATACATTTTTTTTCTGAAATTTGTGTAATATTTATTGATGTCAAACCCTTATGATACTAGCTCAACAATCCAAAATAGTATGCTTGTACAGATTTATAAATACAAATAAAAAGAAGCAGCAAATCGCCACTAGTTAAACTAAAAAAATAGTAATTAAGCTAAAAAAGTCACATTGACAATTGGGCAAGGATTCAATTTCCTAGATCCAGAGTATTAGGATAGTTATATATGACAATACAAATAAGCCAAATTCCTATTGCTGAATTGTTATCATCTGCACAAGCTTCCATAGAAAAGTAATTATCTTTTGTGATAGAAATTTTTATTAGTTACTAAAAATCTGAATAGTGTACTTAATAACAAAGGGCAAAAGCAATACAGGAATAGCAGTTAATGCAAAATAAATGGCACTGCATATTACAAAACTTTTTTTTCTATTTTTACGAAAAAGTATGTATTTGAATAACTGAGTTGAGAAAAAGATTCAGATTTTTAATTATAAATAAAGTACTATAAACATGCTTCATATAAGGAATACAGTGTTTTCCTTTTGTAGCAGAATACTATTGTACCATCGGACTACATTATTTTCAGCAGATCTAACTGAAATAGCCTTCTACTCCCTCTCAGCTGAGTTCATTTTGAATCAAAATTGCTTAATATAATCTAAGTGAAATCTATTAACTGGAAAAAAACCAGCTAGGTTTCTGGCTGGTTAACTATTTTCAGTTCTTCACAAGTTCTCAGCCATAGGCAGGGTTCCTATTCATACTGCAGTAATCAAGAACACAAAAATATAACCTCGAGTATACATGCAAGCAGTGCTTAAAATGTAACAACATTTCCTTGTATTCCCCAACATTTACTTATCTATTCTCTATGGTATGCAAATTATTTAAACCTTTATTGCAAACTCAACCCATTTTCCACTTCCTCTATACTCCTACTTATCTTCCTTTCTATCACATATTCTACTCAATCAGATCTCCAATATTGTTTTAAAAAGCACCGAGGTTTTGCTCACATATCATTTCTTGAGAAAGGTCTCACTTTTGCCTTTTCTCTTATCTCACTGTTATAAAAGTAACATGAATCTAAGCATCACATCCACAGGCAAAAGTCAAAAGCCTTCTAAGGTTACTTTACCTACCCTAATGCAATTAAAGCAAAACTAACACGTCCTATTTCCTTTGAGACTAGAAAGTCAATTTTAAACACAAAAACGTCACTTATTTCTCTTCCCTTTTCCATCTTGCTTTATTCATTCATTGCTCATCTGAACTATCATTATAATGCACTCCTAATATATTTTTTCAGTGCACTTCTATTCATTACAATTAATAGCACCTACAAACTGCAAAGGCACTTAGCGATATGTGTGCAGCATATTTAGTTTTGCAAAATTTCACTCAATTTAACACTTGTGAATAGGATGATTCAAAACAGTATTATCTACAATGTAATAAGAAATGGTTATAGTGAAGGTGATTTGTATATGCAGACTGCATTTTTCTCTACTAACTCCTAATTTGTTATACTGAACAAGAAAGATGTGGCTGGATTCTTTTGCACACAGAGGTGTCTGTCTTGTGTACAGTGGTGTAAATTATCATTGAACCATACAATGGCATTCAGTGTTTTCAATTTGAAAGGAAATGGTATATCTGGTAGCTAATACTTAAAGATCATCACTTTCTACCAATACAGATTGCAATGTCAGATGTCCTGGGTTTGCTTCTGGCTGAAATGCAGCTTTGATGTCTAGTCCTTGGTCAGAAAGTGCTGCATACCGACTGGATGAGGGACGCACCTTCTTTGGTTTAGTGGTTTGGGACTGTTGTTGCCACTGAGCTGGAAAAAAGAGAAAAGGGGAAACAGTTTACCAATGCCTCAAAACACAAAAATGGGGAAAATTACTGAGCCATTTTATCTTCTTTTAGGGGAAAAGGACCAATCATTCAATTTAATTAAAGAATTATCACAAAGCTCTCTAAAATCAAATTGCTGAAGATGTATTCATATCGCAATTATCAACCAGGAAGTCAAGTTACCAAATCCACTGGAGATGTTTGTTAATACAAGAAATGTAGGGAGATGTGCTGCCTTACATATAGTCACTATCATAAATTGTTCTTTTGTCCTCTTTTACAGTGAGATCTGTTTCTCTTCTTTGCCTCATATTCACTTGGTTATTTTCTGCTAATTTCTAAAGATAATGGATGTGAAAAACAATATAAACTCCTGAAAGTATATGGAACTGACTTTGGCTTTATACAAATTCATTCCTAACTGGCAAAGTGTTTAAAATAAGCTATCACATTGTATACACAGACACACACAGAAAAGTTAAGAACAAGTATTCCTTTGACCCAGCACTCTCCTATGCCATTGACTTCTATACAAATGCTAGAAGACTACCAAGTTTCAGTGGAACTTCTAAATAAAAGAAGAGGAACGTGATCTTAACAAATTCAGATAAGAATAAGAACATACAACTAAAACTTTTTAACATTACGATAATGACAAAGGATTATTTCACCTAAAACATGACTTATTCTATACCAGCCTTTTCTAAAACATTTTTATAGACAGAAAAAAATGTACAAATGTCGTTTTGTTCTCTGATAATCACGCAGTAGCAGCACTATATCCCCATTCTTTTTTTCTCCCCCTGTACCACTCTTAAATCTCCAATTTTCATCTATATTCCCTGCCTTGTTTCTATGTCATTTCCTTGCCCTTTTTGTCCTTATACTGCTTGGTAACAGTATAAATTACTTTTTTTCTCTCTCAGCAGTTTAGAGACCAAAAGATCTTTTCACACACAACATGACAGCTATGTGGAATTTAAAGTGGACAGACTGCAAATCCCTGGGAAGTAATACAATTAGATGGGGATGATAATGATTACCTCACTGACATTGTTGAATATGCAAGTAGGAGTGAGTCTTACATCAGTCTTCACTCATTGGTTCATTTTCCCCGGTGGGAAAATGAACAAGTGTCAGTGGCTGACAGGCTGGACAGCTCCTGATAAAAGGAACTGCAGCCTTGGGCAACCCTCAGTTCGTAGTTATTTTGTTGTTCCTGTTGCCTGAAATAAACAAATCTGCCACCTCCATTTGGAAGGCAAATAGCATCCATTCCTCGAGGGGGGAAATGCTGGGCTATCAAGAGGCTACAGAAGGGGGTGAGAGTTCCGAAGAGGATGAGGATATCCACCGAATAAGATCGGAATGGAAGGCTGGCACGGCAGAAGCAGGGCAAAGATTCCAGAACTGTGCTGGATGTGGAGGGAACCATCCCAGGGCGGTTTGCAGATTCAAAGAAACTATTTGCCGCCAATGTGATCACAAGGGACACATAGCCGAAGCCTGCCCAGCCAGCAAACTGCCAACAGAGGCAAAACACAGCGCAGCCACCACCACATGGCCAACAACCGGGATTCTTGAAGGTGCCATTTTCAAAATACAAGCAGCATGAAGACTGGCAGGCAGAAGCGAGAAAAATAAATCAGACAATAGTAGGGCACTCTGATACAAAAAAGTCCAGGAAATTTCATATCACGGTGGAAATAGAGGAAACCCCATGCAACTTGGAGGTGGACACGGGTTCCTATATGTCCATTGTGTCCTGGATTATGATCAAGAAAGCGATCCCAGGAATCACCAGGCAGAAATTAAAACCACAAAAGACACTGCTGAAGGACTACCAAGGGAAACACATTCCAGTGATCAGGAGCGGACTCTTTGAAATAAGCTTCAAGAAATTCAAGGTCCACAATAGTGGACAAAAACCTACCCAGCCTACTTGGGGTAGAATGGTTCGATGCCCTAGGCTTGGGTATACCAGGCATCCATCATCTCCACCAAGACAGCATCGACGGGACTCTAGACAAGTACAAGGGGACCCCTATATCATTTAGCTAGATCCCCATATTGCCCCTGTCCGATTAAAGCTGCAGCGAGTCCCTTTTGCTCTCAGGCCCAAAATAGATGAACTATTAGACAATCTAATTGCACAGGAAATTTTGGAGCCAATCGACCACGCCAGGTGGGAGACCCCTATTGTCATGCCAATTAAGCCAGATGGGTCTGTGTGCATCTGCGCTGATTATAAATGTACAATTAACAAAGCATTGCAACAGAGTACATATCCCGTGCCAGTGGTTCAGCATCTGTTGCATTCATTGGGCAAAGGCAAAATTTTCTTCTTTTTTTAAAAACAAGTTTTATTGTTTTTTTTTCTTTTCTCCTCTCCCACCCTCACCCACATCTTTTTTTTTTTTGAACAGTGTTGGTCATTTCTTATCTTATACAATTAGTCAAATTCAAATACATTTTACTCAATTACAATTTTTGTCAATATCGTTTTCCCCCCTTTCCTTTTTTTTTGAATATATCTCAGTATTTCTATACTTGCATACATAACACCTTCTTCATTTATCCCTAAATTCTAACTTTACTATTTGTACATATTTGTCCTCTTTTATTCTTAAACAATTCATTTTTTTTCTTAATATATTTATATTTGTTTGTTCAGAGCTGCGTTTCTTCCACTTCATCTTTTCCGCTCCCTCTTCTCCTTCCAACTTTCTTTCCCCACCTACTTCTTCTCTTCTCTACTTCCCCTTCCCTTCTCCTCCTCCTCTCTTCCCCCCATCTTACCTTCTCTCCTACTCTACTTTCCCTTCCCTTCCTTCCTCCCTACTCTTCTGTCCCTCTCTCTCCTTCCTCCTCCCTTCCAATTCCTTCATCTCTCTCTATTGCTGTATTCATTTTCAATTTAATGTTTTCCATTGTGGAGTTCAGGCAACCCCAATCCCTTATCTTTTTAATTATTAACAATATATTTCATCTTGTTCTCTTTTTTCCTTCAAATCTTTACTCAAACAATTTTCTAATCTCTTATCTTTTTTACTTTTACCAATATCTTTTTTCTGCTTTACTTCTTGCAAGTATAACATTTAAATCATTATCATTTCAATTTCATTCAGTTTTACATTCAATTTCAATCATTAAATATATTTCTCAAAACATCTTAACAATAAATTTCCACTTATTCAAATATATATTTATAAAGCGCCTCTTAATCCTTTCTCATTTTACCCAATCTGATTAGTTCTTAAAATATTATTAATTTGTCTTTTCTCTTTTTAATTATATTTCAAATATATAGTTTGAAATATTCCAAATATTACATTTCCCCCAACTGGTTTATTCATATTGTTAAGACTTATCATTCTATAAACCTCCAATATTATTGAGCATGTGACATTTATTACAGTTTTCCCTTCGTTTCTACTTTTCTTTTCCTTTTTCGTATCTTTTCAAAGGCAAAATTTTCGCCAAACTCAACCTGACCCAGGCGTACCAACAGTTACCAGTAGATGCTGCCACCGCAGATACCCAAACCATAGTGACACACAGGGGGACATTCAAATGTAACAGATTGCAATTCGGAGTTAGTGTGGCACCAGGTTTGTTCCAGAGTTTAATGGACTGCCTCCTGCAGGGCATCCCAGTAGTAGTTCCGTATTTCGATGACGTCCTTGTGGCAGCAGATAATATGGAACAACTCAGCCACCAATTAAGAATAGCCCTGAGCCATTTCCAGGAAGCAGGGCTTAAAGTAAAGAGGGAAAAATGCCAGATAGCCATACGCCAGGTCGAGGTTCTGGGTTATCTCATAGATGAATCGGGCATTCACCCCACCAACAGCAAGCTGAAGGCAATTAAGGAAGCCCCTACACCAAAAAATAAGACAGAACTGCAGGCATTCTTAGGACTATTGAATTTTTATAGTATCTTCTTGCCGCAGAAGACAACTGTTGCTGAACCACTCCACAGGCTATTGGTTAAGAAGGCAGCTTGGCATTGGGGACATAAAGAAGCTTCTGCCATCACAGAAATAAAAGGAGTTTTAATGTCAAACCACGTATTAGCACAATACAATGACATTTTGCCACTCATCCTGACCTGCGACGCCTCTCCCCTTTGGCATTGGCGCTGAACTCAGCCACCGACTACCAAACGGCAAGGGAGCTCTGACTGCATTTTATTCCAAGACACTTGCAAAAGCTGAACAGAATTACAGTCAAATAGATAAAGAAGCGTTGGCTGCAGTCGCCAGGGTGAAAAGGTTTCACAAATACCTATACAGAAGGGAATTTGAACTCATCACAGACCATAAGCCACTTCTAGGTATTCTTGCAGGAGACCAACCAACCCCAAACATATTGTCATCCAGGATGACAAGATGGAAAGTTTTTTTGGCTGCATACAAATACTGTCTGATACACCAACCTGAAAAGACCATCGACCATGCAGCCAATGCCCACTCCCAGACCTGGTGGAGGACCGTGCACCGGCATCATCAATCCTTCAAATAGAAGAAATCACGAAGGGCCCCATCACAGCGGCCGAAATAGCAAGGCAAATGGCAAAAGACAAAACTTTGGCGCAAATTTTAAACTGGGCATGGAGGGGGTGGCGAAATGGAACATTGGGGGATGAACTTAAACCATTTAAAATCCGGCAAGTGGAAATGTCTGCAATGAAGGAGTGTTTGTTATGGGGGGATAGAGTTGTTATACTACAAACCTTAAGGAAAGCTGTGTTGGAAGCATTGCATGTGGGGCATCCAGGAATTGTGAGGATGAAAGCATTGGCTAGGAGCTATATGTGGTGGCCAGGGATGGATCATTTTCCCAGAGGGAAAATGAACAAGTGTCAGTGGCTGACAGGCTGGATAACTCCTGGTAAAAGGAGCTGCAGCCTCGGGCAGCCCTCAGTTTGTAGTTATTTTGTTGTTGTTCCTGTTGCCTGAAATAAACAGTTTTTTACTTCACTACGATCGTCCTGCCTTCTGTTTGTGTCCGGACTTAACAGACATGGCCATGGACTCTTTTTTTTTTTTTTTTTTAATTTGATTTATATGCCGCCCTTCTCCGAAGACTCAGGGCGCCTTACAATGTGCTCAGCAATAGCCTTCATCCTTTTGTATATTTATACAAAGTCAGCTTATTGCCCCCACAACTGGGTCCTCATTTCACCTACCTTTAGAAAGGATGGAAGGCTGAGTCAACCTTGAGCCTTGGCGAGATTCGAACCCTGCAGTAATTGCAGGCAGCTGGTCTTAAAAAGCTTAATAACAGGGTGCCTTAAACCCCTGTACTACCAAGGCTCTTTTTTTTGCCTGAAATAAACAGTTTTTTACTTCATACGATCGTCCTGCCTTCTGTTTGTGTCCGGACTTAACAGACATGGCATGGACTCTTCAAATCTACATTTAGAATATCCTTTCAATATATGCACCAGAACATGAGGAAGGTGGTTTTCAGAGGCTTGAACCATGTATGGCTTGTTATTACAGAACAATTGGTATCAATTCTACTGATCATCCCTGAACATGGGTCATTTAGTGGCCAGTAATGGGGAAAAAAAAGAAGTGGTGTATGAATTTTTTCAGGAGGTTATATCAAAGAGAAGATACCAGTCGAAAGCAATTTAGTTTCCTAGAGAATTTGCCAGGGGTACCAGATCAGATAAGAGATATACTAAATAGAAATATCTCAGAGGGGGAAATAGAGGAAAGTCTGAAAAAACAGAAGAGTGGTAAAACCCCTGGAACAGACGGACTGCCTGTACAGGTGTATAAGGCAATTTGGGAAGTGATTGGGACCCAGTTGTGCGGCGTCTTTAATGAAGTGTTGAATGATGGACGAATGCCAAAATGAGATGTAGAGAAGAGATGTATATCTCTCTCCTTCCTAAGGAGGGGGTTGATACAACCTATATTAAGAATTATAGACCAATAGCCCTGCTCAATGCCGATTATAAATTGTTTGCATCCATCCTAGCAAAAAGACTACAGGTTTTTAAAAATCAGTTTGTACATAGAGACCAGAATGGTTTCTTACCGCATAGATTGCTGAGAGATAATATGAGAGTAATAATAAATGCTCTTGAGTTTTATGAACATCACTCGGACAAACAGATGGCACTTCTCTTTTTAGATGCTTACAAAGCATTTGACAGCGTGAGTTGGGAATTTATGTTAACCCAGCTTCGTAAAATAGAATTTGGCGAAAAATTTATACAGGCGATACAAACAATTTATTCTTCCCAGGTGGCATGGGTTTTAGTTAATGGGGAAAAAACAAAGGAGGTTACAATTAGTAGGGGAACGAGACAGGGTTGTCCGCTCTCCCCGCTTTTATTTATTCTGACTCTGGAGCCCCTTCTCAGGGAAATTAGGAATAACCCGGTAATTAAAGGACTAAAAGTACGAAGGCAGGAATTTAAAATATTGCTTAACGCAATATTTTATTTTAGCAATATTTTATATATAGCCACCCTGAGTCTCCAGAGAAGGGCAGCATTTAAATTAAAGCAAAATAAATAAATAAATACATAAATAAATAAAAATATAGGCATTCACAGACAACCTCGTCTTCATTCTAGAAGATCCTCAGGAGTCGGGCCCAGAGTTGATAGAGATGATAGAAGAATATGGTAGAGAGGCGGGATTAAAAATGAATAAGGATAAAACTAAGATATTGGTCAAAAATATTCCAAAAATGCAGAAGGACATATTAGAATCTAGATTGGACGTTCAAATTGTAAATAAAATTAAATATCTAGGAATTTGGCTAACAGCCCGATGCTCTACAATTAAGGAAGACAATTTTGTTAAATTATATGATCAGACTGTAAGAGACCTGGAGAAGTGGAAAAATTTACAGTTGTCTTTGATGGGATGGATAGCAGCAATTAAGACACATGTTTTACCCAAATGGCTATTTTTATTTCAATCAGCTCCGGTGAGGCTAGATAAAAAGTTTTTTAAAGATTTGGATCGAGTTGTGCTGAAATTTATATGGCAGGGGAAGAAGCCTAGGGTAAAGCTCAAAATGTTACAAGAGCATAGAGAGAGGGCGGGTCTCCCCTGCTGGGAATTATACTACGGAGCTTCACTGTTAGCCTGGATGAAAGAATGGGTGTTATTGAAGAAGAGGTCTTTATTAGATTTAGGAGGACACGACCTACAGCACGGTTGGCACGCGCTGTTATGGAGAGAGAAAGTTCAACAGTATAAGTATTTTAAGAGACATTATTTAAGGCGAATATTGCTGGAAACCTGGAACATAATTAGAGGAAAATTTTATACCAAGATCCCAATCTGGTTCTCAGCAACAGAAGCGACGACATATCCAATAACTCTTAAACAGGATAATATTTATAGATATAAAGAGCTTGTGGATGCCCAAGGAATATTAAGATCTAGGGAAGATTTGGCTGATAAAGGAATTAGGCTAGATTGGTGGACCTATGCTACAGTTCAATCTTGTTACAGGAAGGATAGAGATAATTATAGGATACATGTGATGGAACAGAGTTTTGATAAAATATTAATGGGAGAGGACCATAAATACATAATCAAAATGTATGCACAATTGCTTGAGCGAATGATAGGAGAGGAGGTTGTAAAAGACACTGGGGGAGGAATTTTGGGTACTCGATTCCCTTAGAAAAATGGCAACAAATGTAGGGGGAAAATATTAAAATGATTACGGCAACGTCTTTTGAGGAAAATGCATATAAAATGTTGTATAGATGGCATCTCCCACCAGCAAGAATTGCTAAAATGTTTCCGGGTGCATCAGAGTTATGTTGGAAATGCGGGAAAACCAGAGGTACGTATTTCCACCAAATTCCACGTATTTCCAGTTGTATAATGGCGAAGAAGTATTGGAGAAGGATTAAGAATTGGATTAAGGAAATTACTAATGTGGATCTCCAATGAAAACCTGAGATATATTTACCAGGTATTTGCCCAGAGGGGCTGAATAAGAAAAAATGGTATCTCACTCTACATATTTTAGTTGCAGCTAGAATAGTGTTCGCCCAACAATGGAAAGGAAAAGAGATACCAGCTAGTACCCAAATTATAAATAAAGTATTAGAGTGCGCTGAGGCGGACAGAATGACATTTATGTTGAAAGAAAAAGAAGATTCTGAATTTTTTCAAAGTTGGGACAGTTGGTACCAATGGTTGAATAAAAGAATTGAGACGAAATGAGGGTCTAGGCAATCACGAGGAGAGATATATTTATTTAGATTGAAAGGTAATTGTATGAAAATAATGTCTAGGGATTATTTACCCTACTCTGTGTTGTGGGCATAATTATTTACCAATGAGGGCAGGGACAATATCTGCCGGGATAGATGTGTTCGTATGTTTAGTGCTATGAATGGGTGGGGGAGGGAGGGAGGGGAATGTATGATTGTTGTTTTTATGAATAAATAATGTCTTTGTCTTGTGTTGATTTTAATCTGGAAAAACTAATAAAATTTATTTTATTAAAAAAAAAAAAGAACGGTTATGCTTTATAGGCAGGCTTGATCTAAAGGTCAACAAACGTTTCTCTAATATTGTTATTATATAAGGAATAGCTATAGGTTTGGGATAATTTTTCCAAATACTGTCAACATCCATACAGCATCTTACTATAAACATCCAGTCTTGCTGTGCAGGAAACAATCCCAGCTTCATTTTTTGCTGATGCAGTGTACCAACCAGCATCTTCTTTTGTAGCTCCCTGAATAAGCAGGCAGATGTATCCATGATTATCTTGGTGCATGCTTAAAAGAATAAAGAGACACATGTAAACATATAACTAAATAACTGGCATAAATGTATAAATTATTTTAAATAACTCTGAATGATAAATAAGGATGGATCAGCAGTAGATCAAGTGAACACATGTAGTCCTTGACTTATAACTGATCGCTTAGCAACTACTAGAAGTTACAACAGACTCCAAAATTGGAACTTATGACCCAGTTTCAAAGTTCCAACATCTTCCCCTGGTCATTTTGGGCATTTAGCAACAGCCCACATTTACAGCCATTTGCAGAGATCTGCAGTCATGTGATTGTGGTTTATTATACTTTTTGCCTGAAACCAGTATTTACTTCTGGTAAAACCCACCTTACAACAAACAATGGGTTCACTTCACAACCACCACATTCATTTTATGATTAACATATTTGCTTAACGACTGTTACAAAAAAGTTTGTAAACCAGGTTCCAGTCATATGATGACCCACTAGTTTATATATTGAGGACTCCCTGTTCAATATATAAAGAAACAACATGTTTTCTCAACTGATGTTTCTCTAGCTTGCTTTGAAGTTAATAGATATTAACTAAATTATGACTGGTTTCATGTTTTTTTAAATATATTTTATATATTTTAAAATCGATCATGTTAAATGTCATAATAAGATAATACTGATTTTATAAGACTTTTGATTACAGAATCACAATAGTGTATTTCAGATGCATGTTTATGTTTCCATAACTCAAAACATAAAATCTGCCCCATTAAAGTTACCACACTTCAGTTCCCAGCAGGTTTAGTGGACAAACAGATCTTCAAGAGTTTGGCTAAATATTGTAGCCATATAATATTGGACTACTTTATAAGTACCCTCACTCAGAAATAATAATGAATTATTATTAAAATAAAATAATGAATAAATAATGAATAAAATAATAAAGTAAAATAATGAATTTCATTTCAGTTTAGCATATCTGTAATATTAGACATGACAATTTTTCAAAAACAGCAAAGTGGTTTGCTCACCTGGAGAGGATGTCATGAGATTCCATATCATACAAAGCATGTAAAAAAAGAGAAGTTCAAAGAAGACGAGGTAGACCCAGAAGAAGATGGAAAGACAACATCAAAGACATACTACAACAACATAAATTAACAATGGTTGAGGTCACTAGAAGAGTAACAGCTAGAACTTTGCATCTCCCTCGACATTTGGTACGGTGAAAGAGGAGCAGGAGAAAGGAGCAGGAGAAGGAGGAGGAGGAGGAGGAGGAGGAGGAGGAGGAGGAGGAGGAGGAGAAGTAGTAGTTCTTAAATGGAAAGAAACATTAAGCTTATATCTGGGATTACAGAAATCACAAATTGAATGATCTCCTATGCAACTTAATTATCAAGGCTATAAAATGAAGTAGCGTATTAAGTTGTATTGCTACCATGGCTTCAAATTTAATTTCCCTCACACATTTTTTAGATTGCAATCAAAAACCTCAAAACATTTTAGCTCCATGCATTTCAACACTTTCAACTTTTCTTTGTTTATTTGTATCAGAAGCATCACAATTAAAATAAGGCATACTATATGACATAAGATTTAGAAGATAAAATGCAAGATTAAAATATGTACAGGTTAAACAGATTTTGCCCAGGTAAAATGTTGCTCAGCAACATTAATTGCGTTGTGTTGTACTGCCTTGAGGTCCTCAAGTGTGCACAAAGGATAGTATACATATGTGTTGTTGTCTGCATGTTACCACAATTGCAAAGGGCAAAATCCCTGGATAATCTCATTTGTTCAGAGTATCTCTGGGTCTAGTTGTGCCTGTGTGCAATCTATTCAACAATTATCAAACTTCCCAACTTTCACCAGACTTGGTTCCTCCATTGGTTTCTTCTGGTGTTGATTCTTTGTAGCTTTCCATAGATCCTCTCTGCTTTTAAATTTTTTGAAGTCTTCCGTTGATATAAGGAAGCTTTTCCTAGATTTTAATCTCTGATGTAGGCATAGAGAGGGTGTTGTCTAGAAACCTAGATGATTTAAGCCTGTCTCTGTATGCTGATGCTTCTTTGCAAACAGAAGGTGGGGTGCAATGCAGCTAGGTGGTAGATCTTATCTAGAGGGGTAGTTTTAAGGCATCTGGTAATAATTCTGCTAGCTTCATTCAGAGCAACATCTACTTTCCCAACATGTGTTGATTTATACCAGACTGGGCAGATGTATTTGCCTGCCAAGTAGCAAAATGCTAAAGCTGTTATAAGAATTCTTGGTTTGGCATTCCAGGTAGAGCTCAGGTTATATTTATTTATTTATAGAGGATGTTTTTTCATTCACTGATCTTCAGTTCAGTGTTGGTGCAGTGCTGTTTATATGTCAGGGTCCTATCTAGAGTGAGCCTTAAACATTTATGGCTGTAGCAATGCTCCAATACCGTCCTTTTCCATATAATATGCAGCTTCCTAGCAGCCTGCTTATTGTGAAGATGTAAAGCACATACCTGAGTTTTTGCTGGTTATCACAATGGTATCAATCCAACTCTGCCAGGGTTTCAATTAAATGTTGTTCAACCTCCTCAAATGTTTCTCCATGTACAGCCACTGCTCAGTCATCAGTATACATATAGTTATTAGTACCCATACATTGGTATAAATATTAAAAATAATTGGAGCCAATTTACCCTAAGGTAAATATCCCTTTGATTCTTCCATCTACTTTGCCTTCCCTGGAACTCCACATAAAATATGTGGTGCTGAAGCAGATTCCTAATGATATTTGTAAGTTTAAGATCTGTAATCATATCATAAACTTTCTGCTTCAGTCTTCTAAGATTGATGGTATCATATGCAGCCATGAGATCTATGAGTACAGTTCCTGTTATGTTACATTCGATAAACTGAGCTATATTGAAAATCTGCGTGTTGCAATTTTTTTGGGAGAGAAATCCAGCCTGCTGCAGTATGAGAAAATGTTCTACAGCTACAGTGAGGCAATTTTGATCATTCTTTCAAAGATTTTGTAGGTATGGCACAAGAGAGAAATTAGCTGGCACTTCTTAGGGTTATTAGCCTCTTTACCTGGTTTTAAAACTGCTGCAACCTTAGCCTTTTGCTAGATAGCAGGAATCTTACACTGTTCCAAGCATTCAATTAAACATTTATAGTAGCCACTGTCTTACCTTTGACCCCCAATTGCTTTATCTGTTTAATAAGCAGCTTTCCATGGCCTACTCTTCCTTATTTGTGGGGTGCCGCAAGGGTCAGTCCTCTCACCCCCTCTGTTCAACATTTATGTAAAACCGCTAGGTGAGATCATCCGTGGTTTTGGGGTGAGTGTTCATCAGTATGCTGATGACACACAGCTATACATCTCCACCCCAGACCACCCCAATGATGCCCTTGCTGTGATGTCCCGTTGCCTGGAGGCCGTGTGGATCTGGATGGGGAGAAACAAGCTCAGACTCAACCCCTCCAAGACCGAGTGGCTGTGGCTTCCGGCGTCCCGGTATAGTCAGCTGGTACCATCACTGACAATAGGGGATGAGATCTTGCTCCCCACAGAGAGGGCCCGCAACTTGGGTGTCCTCCTGGATTCACGGTTATCTTTAGAAGATCATTTGACGGCCATGGCCAGGGGTGCCTTTTATCAGGTTCGCCTGATCCACCAGTTGTGTCCCTTTCTGGATCGGGACGCCTTGCGCACGGTCACTCATGCCCTAGTTACCTCCCGTATGGACTACTGTAATGCTCTCTACATGGGGCTCCCCTTGAAAAGCACCCGGAGGCTCCAACTGGTCCAGAACGTAGCCGCACAGGTGATTATGGGCGCAGCTCGTTACACCCATGTAACACCTCTCCTACGCGAGCTGCAGTGGCTCCCGGTGGTCTTCCGGGTGCGATTTAAGGTGTTAGTTATCACCTTTAAAGCGCTCCATGGCTTAGGACCTGGGTACCTACGAGAATGTCTTTTGCCACCAATAGCCTCCCACTGACCAGTTCGTTCTCACAGGGAGGGACTACTCAGGGTACCGTCAGTCAAATTATGTCGACTGGCGACTCCCAGGGGGAGGGCCTTCTCTGTGGGGGCTCCAACCCTTTGGAATGAACTGCCCCCGGAGATACGGAATATCCCTGATCTCTGTGCTTTCCGCCGTGCCCTCAAGACCCTGATGTTCCAACAGGCAGGGCTAAACATACAAACATGTGAATGATTTTTTAAATGTTATCTAATTCTGGGTTTTATTTAATTGACCAAACTTAAGTAATAATTTTAATTAGCAATTTTATGATGTTTGTGTGTCTATATTTTTCTTGACTGTACACCGCCTTGAGTCCTACGGGAGAAAGGCGGTATAGAAATATAATAAATAAAATAAATAAATAAATAAATAAATAAATTATAGCCTCTCTCAGTTCTTCCATAGTAAAGGGGGATGGTAAGTTAGTTGTTTTATCTTCCTCATTTCTGTTGATCTTATTTATTTATTTTATTATATTTCTATACCGCCCTTCTCCTGCGGGACTCAGGGCGGTGCACAGCCGAGATAAAACATAACATATAAAATTTAAAAACAGTTTAAAAACAATTAAATAATTTCGGCCCAGTAATTAAAATAACCCAATTAAAACCAAATTCAATTAAAACTGAGAGGATGGGATCAAGCCAGCCCAGCTAGATGGAACAAGTGTGTCTTCAGGGCCCGAGGAAAAGTCCGGAGGTCTGATATCGTGCGTATCTCAGGGGGCAGGTCATTCCAGAGGGCAGGCGCTGCCACAGAGAAGGCTCTCCCCCTGGGGGTCGCCAGCCGGCACTGCCTGGCTGACGGCACCCTGAGGAGGCCCTCTCTGTGTGAGCGAACCGGTTGGTGGGAGGCAATTGGTGGCAGAAGGCGGTATCGCAAATACCCCGGCCCTAAGCCATGGAGTGCTTTAAAGGTGGTCACCAACACCTTGAAGTGCACCCGGAAGACCACAGGAAGCCAGTGCAGCTCGCACAGGAGAGGTGTTATATGTGAGCGCCCCGCTGCT